GTTTTCTTTTCTTCTCTTTTTGTTTTTTCTTCCCTTGATCCATCCCATTTGTTAGGGTTTAACAGAGTTCCAATTGTGTTACGTTGCAGAGAGTCTGAAAGCAAATGATTTCGTTTTTGTCGGCAGTGCGTGTTGGAGTCCGCTCTCATGCTCTTGTGGCTGATTACAGAAGCATCTCTACGGCAAAGATTCCTAAGAAAAAGGAGAAACAGAAGGCAAAGGTAGCAGTCGCAGCTCTGTTGAAGAAGGAAAAGCGAAGGACCCGTTCCGACCGAGAATTCGAGCAGATTGATTCAGTTCGTGATCAGCCGCACGTCCCTGTTATGTTGGGTGAAGTTACGGATGTCTTCTCAAAACCCATTTGCTCTTTCGTCGACTGTACCCTCGGCGCTGCTGGTCATTCTTCCGCGGTCAGTATAGTATTCCTTCTTTTCATCTCTGTTCATAGAATACATTCTAGGGGTACCACGGGGTCCAAGCTCGAGACTTCTCATTTTGAGTCCTCAAGTTGGAACCTTGGGACTAATATAAGCCACAATGAGATGTACCGAAAGAATGCATTGAAATGTTATTTTTTATTACATTGTGACAGATAATCGAGTCTCACCCTGAACTGAGAGTTTTTGTTGGAATGGATGTTGACCCTCTTGCATATGATGTGGCTTGTTCTCGTATCCATGCTCTTTCCAACTCCCACGCTCGTTCTGATCTCAAAGTTTGTACATTTCTCAAGAATTTCAAACATATTAAGTCTGTGCTTAGCGAGGTTGATCAAAGCATCCTGAATTCTGGAGTTGATGGTATGTTGATGGACTTGGGAATGTCATCCATGCAGGTTTCTTGCCAAACTTTCTATTGATGAACAGCACTTATGACCTCGTGCCGTCTCTGTCTAACCATTTTCCTTGCAGGTCAACAATCCTCAAAGAGGGTTCAGTGTTCTTGGTAACGGGCCTCTTGATATGCGCATGGATCCTCAGGTTAGTCCATTCACCACTCACTAGTATTGAGGAGTGCACTTTTAATTTATCTTCAGATATACTGTATACCTCTAGTTCAGGACTGCTGTATGCGGTAACAGCTTGATACTGGCTAGAAAATTTTTCTTGAGTCCTATCAAGAATTTTTAGTTTAATTTATATGTTATTTAAGGAAGACAACCAGAATCTTTCAGCTAGTTGGTATGTGTCATTAATATGTTTGCAGTGCATGCCTGTAACAGATTATTTATACGCTTTTGCTATGCAAAGACAATATGCCAGCTATATACCAATGTCTAGAGACAATTCCTTTAAGTGTGTTATGCGTGTGCTTGCATTTATGTTTGCTTTTTGCAGAATCATTTAAATTTATTTTCTGCCTAAACTGATTGTAACAGGCTTATAACAGGCAAGTCTAAAAGCAGAAGATATATTGAATTCCTGGCCAGATACTGAAGTTGGCCGAGTCTTGCGGGATTATGGAGAAGAAAGTAATTGGAAATTGCTTCAGAATAAGATTCTTAAGGCTCGTCTTCATGGCGGATTGCATTCCACCAGTGAACTGGTAGATCTTATCCGGGATATGACACCAGCGAGAAGGGGTAAGTTTATCTACCAATTCATCTGTTTCTGTTTGTGCTTTTTCTTGAGGGAACAGACCCAGAGATGTTGAAAAAGCAATCTAAATAGTTCCCTCGGGGATGGCAGGGGCAAGTAACTGTAAAATGAATGCATATTTAATTGAATTTATGTCAATTAATTTTTTTTATTTAATTAACACAGGAGGCAGGCAAGGTTGGATAAAGACTGCTACACGGGTGTTTCAAGCCCTGAGAATAGCTGTTAACGATGAACTGAAGACACTGGAGGATTCCCTGCGTGCTTGTTTTGACTGCCTTGCCCCTGGGGGTAGGCTTGCTGTCATCTCCTTCCATAGTTTGGAGGACAGAATTGTGAAACAAACATTTCTTAAAATTATTGAGTGCAACAAGGAATATGGAGATAGGGATGATGAAGAGAGAGGAAGTAGAAATTTGCAAAAGAAAGGGAGTGACAGTGATGAAAAAGAAGCATGGATTAGACAGAGTTTACAAGGGTTGAATGGAACAATCCTCACAAAAAGACCAATAACACCATCTGAAGAAGAAGAAAAATTGAACAGCCGGTGTAGGAGTGCCAAGCTCAGGGTGATTCAAAAGGCTTGAAGATGGCTAAATTGTAGTGGCTGATTTAACAATGCCTATGAGTTTTTAGAGGGTGACAGAAGTACTGTGTGTAAAAATGTTATAGGTACTGTTTTCCAATTTGGATAAAGAGAGTGCCTTGTTTTCCCTCACATAAAGACAAACCCAAAATTTGGCCTATGGACTTTCAAAATGTTCTCAATTTTGTCCTTAAAGTACGCTTGTTAGCGAATAAGTCCCTATTCTTTTTGAAGTAATTTCATTTTTTTTTTTTTGAAGGTTTGCTATTGTAAAGATTTGAATTCAAAATTTTATTTCAAATTAAGAATTTCTAGTTAGTGGCAAAAAAAAAAAGAAGAAGCTAAGTTCTCATTAAAGAGACTTGTGTTTATCACCTTTAAATATAAGATTAATTTTTGTTACAAGATTAAAAATTAAATAATATTATTTAAGTAGATAAAATTTGAAATTAAAATAAGATATTTTAAATTCAAACTCACCATTCCTCAGCTTGGGAGCACAAACTGAAGCCTTAAAGGGTAATTCAATTGGAATATGTTGTATGCAATTCTTTATACTTGCTTAAAAAAATTTGTTATATAATTGTGATACAACATCAATAATTTTCTATTTCAATAATAGCATGACAAGTTATTAAAAATGATGTTGTATATAATCTCATGTGGGTTAAAAGTTAAAACCAGCTTATAATGTAAATTGTAATCCACTTGACTCGGAAGCTTTTGGTAATGAATATAACTTTGACGGAAAAACCGTCAACGATGTGAAAGTTTAGGGGCCAAACCATGGGATTCTCCTCCCTTTTACGTGTTGCTTTGTTTTGCCGACATGGTTCGGATATAGAGTGATGATGAGCAGAGTGTACAGATGGACTATTCCCTCGGCCTTCACCTCCAGGTATTTCTTAATCATTTAGCGCTGTTCCTTTGCTTCAATTCTTTCCTTAATCATCTTTTTTTCTCTCAGGAAGAAAACTCAAGTCATCAAGCTAAGAAATGAAACCATTAAATCCTCAAATACAAAGAAAGCAAATTTATCTGCAACAAGGACGGAAAGAATTAAGCTTCCACTTTATGACGATGGTTTTGGTGGCCACACATACCATATCAGTGAATTCTTGCGTCAACCATCTGGGATTGAAGCAGTTTTGAACACAAGTGCCTTACAAAGCTTTCAGCTTCTTGAGAATAATGTATACAGGTTCTCTACTTGATTTCATGGTCCATTTTCTTTTTGGTTAGTGGTTTCTTAATCTGGGATATTTTGATTTTGATTGTGGGTGCGAAAAAGAAAATACCCATCTTGAGTTGAAACATATAAGGTATTACCTGTCCAGGTGTATACTTCCAGAAATTCAGTTCTTGAATTTTGAGGTGACCCCAGTGCTAGACTTACGAGTGATGCCTACAAGAGAAAATTGTGTGGTTGAATTGCTTTCTTGCAAGGTGAGCTTCAATCCTCTTTTGAGATGGTGAGATTCTAAGGGAAAAGGATTAAAATGAAAAGAAAAAAAGAGGGGGGGGGGGGGGCGTGGAAAGGAAGTTGTCACTGTGGATTGCAGTGTCTCTTTGGTTTGGTGATTTTGCAATTGATATCAAGGAATGCTAAATATTTAAAATTTATTGTTTATTTTAATCAAGGCATAACCTTGATTGCATTTTGTTTAATCCCTTTGATTACCTTTGAGATTTGACCAATAATGGCAGACTAATTAAATTGAAACCAGAAAATTGTCATCTCTGAAAATAAAAACAAATGAAATGAAGAATATGGATCTTCGTTAAGTATGAGAATGTTTTTATTTGGTAGCTTATGATAATATCCATATCTAAATAGCTATATTTATGCTTCTCTTTGACATGCAGTTTGAGGGTTCAGAAGTCTTTGAACGGCAAAATGAACATTTTTCAGGTACATTTGGATTTTGTAATCTTTGAATTCATAAAAGGTTGGTACTGTTACAAAGATTTACTGGGAACTAGAGTTGCTTCTTGTTTTATAGTTCTAGAACTAAATTCACCTTCAATAAAGGACCCCTATTTCCCATCAATGATTTTGAGCCCTTTCCAAAACCTTTTGCTGCATATTTTTGCATTGCTTGCAGAGGCTATTATTCTATTGCTTGCTTCTTTCTTTCTTTCTTTCTTTTTCTCTCTTTTCCTTTTGGGTACATTTGGGAGATCCATGAAGAGGACGATGTTGCTTGTCACCAAACCAGTTTTATCTGATATCTTTCGAATCTACAGTCTTCTATAAAATGAGCATTTGTTATTTTGATGATTATGTTATAATAATTCTTCTCATTTTCTACTTCACAGCTACTGTTAAAAATCATATTATGTGGGACACTAGTATTACCGAACCATTTTTGGAAGTTGATGTCAAGTTGAATGTTAGTCTTGAGGTAATTATCAATTATCATATTGCCTTGGTAGATTGATGTTACTTAGGAATCAGTTTTCTTATCATCCTAGATCATGCCATGAAAGGCAAGTTTCTATAATTAGATTTCTCTAATGCAAATCTGCAATATATAATTTATTCTTTAATGGAAGTCTTCCTGGGTTCGCTGCTTTCATGCCCCATCATACTGCTTTATCATCCTTCCCAAGGTTATTAGCTCCTATGAACTTTGCTAGTTTCTCTAGATTTCAAACTAAGTGTGAATTTGTCTTCCAAAAAGTGACTGAAGCTTCAATGAATTTTGATTTCTGATAAAATCTCTTCTAAGTCTGATTATGTCTCTGACTTCTATTGTAATGAATAAGTAATATTGTGCCTGTGGACAGATTTATACGAGGCCATTTACTTATCTGCCAATATCAGCTGTTGAGGGTCCTGGAAATCTGTAAGTAATACTCCAGCTTCCATCTTTCCTGCGTACTTCTTTAAGAGTAATCATACTTTAGCTTACGGATTTTGCCAGTTATCAGCAAAGGTTGCATAACATAATGCGTATCTCATATGTCAAGTAGTAGCAAATTAGATGTACTAACATTCTAACAAGTAGAGTACATGTCAATGCATGTAAAGTTAATATCATTGATGAGGAGCAGGTATTAACACAACAGAGTATGCTGTTGATATTTGCATTCAGTAGATTACAAGAAAGTTTTCTCTCTCTTTTTTTTTTTTTTTTTTTTTTTTTTTTAAGTTAAAAAAAAAAAATCTGAACTGAAATCTACTGTGTGTTGAATATGAGCCTGCTCATTCCAATCCAACTGTGGTTGCGGTGAATACAGAGTGATACAAGCTCTAGTGGATAGACTTGTTCCATTGCTTCTACAACAGCTATTGCAAGACTATGAAAAATGGGTTCAAAAGCAATGTGAGGACCTCTGATGAACTGTGCTTCTATTCTTCATCCAGCCAACGTATAATTTAAATAATTTTTTTAAAGAAAATGTGTCTCTTAATGGTATTTAATATTGTTCTCTGCTACCATGACGACTCAATGTAAATGTTATTTATCATACATATGATAAAATTTTGTTCTTTTAATTTGTATATTCTAATTTCTAATTTATATTAGTAAATTTCTGAACATATTTTTTTTCCAAACTACTGAAGCTTATGATACAATTATCTTTATATGACATCTAAATGAAAATTTACAAGTTGTAAGTCATCTTTCAAGTCAAATACCTAAATTTTTTTCAGAGCTTCAAATGGTGTACTAAGGGTCAGATGAAGTACGATCAAGTTCATACCCACAACACGAGTACATTGAGAAGGGAATGACTTAGGATTAGGTCTGACCCATCAAATGGCAGAACATGAGATTCAGAGCTGGTTTCTTCCACCAAACTATGTTTGTGGCTGAGATCCATCTGGGTAAACAAATGGGACATGGGTGCATCTATAAACTTGAATCTTTTCTTTAAATCTTCTGGCTTCAACGACTAAAATTCATGAAAACCAATTGCTCAACAACAGTAAGCAATGTTATTGATGATCCAAGAATAAAAGCATTCAACTTTCACTATAAGGACTACCGAAACGTCTTTTTAGGTGAGCCTACTACCATTCACACTTTTGGGCAAAATGTGAACGGCTAACTAGCCACCATAAGAAATGCTACGTTCTAAGTTGTTGAGGGTCCTATAGCAAAAGCAGAGGTTATGAGCCTTCAGAGTTGCAGGACCTTCAACAGTGGTGATTTAGGTGAGCTTACTGACCATTCACATAAGAAGTGTATGTGATTGGCTAATTGGCCACCATAAACTCATAAGAAGACGGTGAAAGAACGAACCAATGAAGCAACCACGAAATGGAAACCAATGGAGTTTAAAGGTTGGAAGACAAAAGGCTCAGGACGTCTTTGTCAAATTCAATTTTGACCCTGAAGTACCTAGACTCACTCGTCCCATCCCCTTCTCTCTCCCAGCGCCATTTTTGTTTCTTCACTCCTACCGCCTGCCGCTTCGGCTGAGTAGAGTAGCCTTATAAATGCCGAAAGAGGTTTTGGTAGGGTTTTAGCTTGTCCCCAGCCCAAAATGGGCCAAAACGCCGTATCTAAGATTCCCTTTTCCAAGTCCCTTTACTCCTTCCTACTCTGCTCTAGTATTTTGAACCTTTAATTTCCAACCAAAGTGCCTCAGTAGCTGTTGGAAGGTAAATTCTTCATGAATCCATAATTTTAGTGTGAATGGCATGTCTTTGTCCAGACAGTAAAGAAGAACTTAACAGCGTGAGGTTGTGAATCTTGACTGGGAAACCGAGCGATATGTTTAGTTGGTTCAATAATACTCATTATAAGTTTATAACCCTGCCATAGTCAATAAATTTCATGCAAAACGTAACTGCAATTGCCATCTCCCATACAAGCCACTAGTTTTTCAACAGATATTCGTAATGTTTAATTTTCAGTTGGACGAACGAACTAACACAATCAACAAGTATTTACAACCAAATATTTTCCATTCCAATTGCTTGATAATGCTAGTAGATACTTATTATTGTGAAAGAGAAGTCTTAAACATGGAGAGACAGCTATTTCCAGTAGATAGCTAGATGATCAAACAACTTAACCTTAGGCACCAGTCTTTAGGTCTTTACCCTCCACTTCATCAAAGTGATCTTCCCGGGCGTTGTCAGCCAACATAAGTGCAACTAACCAGAAGAGGGCTGAATCAAGGGATATAAAGGCACCACCACCAAGGAGACCAGTCTTAGCAGTAGGGCAATCTGTTTGCAGGTTATGATGAACATTACGTGACAAGTGAAGCTGCTCCGTGATTGTTGGCCACAAAATTAGAGTTAAAGCCAAACCAGCAGAAAACCTGTAACAAGTTTAGACCAAAAAAGAAGAAAAAAACTCTGAATGATATCATCTTGGTGATCAACAAAGCCCATAATGTTTATGAGGAATAAAACTCTGGTCAGCTAGGTGGAGATGGAACACCCCCATGGGAATGACCAACCAGGATAAGGAGACTAATTACCCGTGGAACAGGTACCTTAAAATTGTATATAAGAATAAAGATTATGAACCCAAAGATTAGTTCTGAAGCTGAACCCTGATCATTAATTTATGTTTCTCACGGAACAAACAACAAATACAATGCTTAAATTGAATTCTGGGATGAAATATATATATGTTTGAGTCAGTATCACAAAACAGAAGATAAACAGTTTACTGCCCAACAAATGATCAACAATCTAATAAAATTAATTATAATTTTAAAAGCAGTTTATAGGTAAGGTATGCTTACAAGGCAATGTTGAAGAAGACAGCAAAACTAATGCTCCGGAAGAGAACAGATTGCGGCACAGATTTCCCTTGGTAAGGGTAAAACAGAGAGAAATAGCCGACCACTGTGGCAACAACCAGGGATGCAACGGAGAGATATCCCAGAACTACAGTGGGATCAGCAGGATACTTGCAAATAACCACACCTTTACCCTGGATTGCAGTCCCAGAAGAAGGCTGCAAGATAAAATTAATTAAAACCCTAAACTAAACCCTCACAAAAAAAATTAAAGATTAAAAAAGTTCAGAGATTTGGCGACGTTACCTTCTTGTTTTCGGCAATTACTCCAAAGATGAAGGAGAGAACGCCGAAGAAGGACACAATAAGAGACATCTGCCTCATGGTCACCGCCATTCTTACCGACCCAGAATCAGTTTTCTTCTAAATCCAAAATTATTAGAAGAGTTTAACAACAGAAACGATGAAATCAAGAGGCTTTGCAATAAAAAGTTCTGCAATTTTCTTATGAACAAAACATTCAAATTCAACGGGGAAACAAACTGAACTCGAAAATTTGGAAAAAAGAGAATTAAGTGAAACCAGATAAAGAGAAAGTTACCTGAAGCTTTGGGAGTGGAATGGGAGGTATTGGCAGAGAGAAGCTGTGAGAGAATCAGATTACAGCGAAAAAAGGGGTAGACTTTGCATACATGTGGACGAAGGCAAATTCCTACGATTAACGAATGAAATCACGTTTTCACCCTCTTCTTTCGCTTTCGGAGTTGGAAAATAAGGTTAACACCCTAATTTGGTTCCTTTACTTTTGTTGAAAATATCTTTTTAGTACTTTTACTTAAAATAATCCTTTTTGATTTCTAAAACTTGAAATTCGACCAATTTTAGTTTTTGTATTAAATTTTACATACGTAGCATATTAATTTAAAAAAAAAAAGTAAATTATCAAAAAGAGGTTTTTTTTATCAAAGTAAAAAAATTAAAAAGGGACTAAAAAGCTTTTTATTGATCTTTTTATTCTAAAATTTTTATTATCTAACATGTTAATATGTAAAACTTAACAAAGATATTAAAAAAAGATCAAATTTCAATTTTTTTAAAAAAAGTAAATTATCAAAAAGAGGTTTTTTTTTATCAAAGTAAAAAAATTAAAAAGGGATTAAAAAAGCTCTTTATTGATCTTTTTATTTTGAAATTTCTATTATCTAATATATTAGTGTGTAAAACTTAACGAAGAGATTAAAAAAAAATCAAATTTCAAATTTTAAGAACCCAAAAAGGTTATTAAGTAGAGAAACTAAATAAAGGTTTTTTTAAATAAAAGAACTAAAAATCTTTTTACGAAAATAGAAAAGGCAAAATGAGTTTTCAACTTAAAAAAAAATTATCTAATCAAAATTAAGATATTGATTGATAAAATGTATATTTAAGGAAGATAAATTTGTCAAGTTTTTAAATAAAAATATTAATTTTTAAAATTTTTATTTAAAAATTAATTGAATAATAATTTGATGTGATAAATGTTAAAAAATGATATCATTCTTAAATAGAAAATTAGAATTTTGTTTTTTTAGTAGAAAAAATTTAAAGTTGATATTTTTATTTAAAATTAATAAAGTTAATATTTTTAAATAAAAATATATCAAATTAACATATTTATTTCTACTTTTTTAACATTAAATAAATTCTTACTTGAAACTTTTTATTCAAAAAGTAATTAAAAATGTATAACACAA